GCGTACGGTCAACCGAGCGCCTGCCGCGCGTGTTGCTCGAAAATCTCGGGAGCCCGAAGCGTTGCAGATGAGGTTCGCGTGGGTCGAGTCGGAGCTCGACAAGCGGTGCGTGTAGGTCGTGTTCCTGAAAATTTCTTTGCAGTTCGCGCAACGATTCGCTGCGACGCAAAAGCCAAATTCGGATCCAAACCGACATGCGCGAGGGTAAGGAGGCCCATCCTCCCAATTCACTCGAAGTTTTTTCATGTCCAGCTGGCACGTTCGGATACGACCCCCCTCCTACATCCTCCAATGGCACCTCGAATCAATCTGAGATCGCTCCCGCAGTTGGAGATGTTGCGAGTTGTAGATGCCGTTGCGCCTCGAAGATGGTCAGGCGAGGGCCGGCTCAGGCTCGTATTTCGTATGTTGGAGCTGCCTTGGTCTCCCGCTCTCGGTTGGATGCAGGTGAGCTGCGGCGGAAAAAAAGGTCAAGGCTTCCCTCGCCGATAAACGCGCGCCGGGCCTAGGCAAAGCTGGCACTGGCGGCGTGGCATTTCGGCTGCTTCGGCTCGTCGGCCGCCCCCAGCCGTACGTCCGAAGCGAAGCTCTCACAGAACGTGTGCAGTCCAACGGGTCGGCTGCACCGACACCTTTGCCCTGTGCCGAATCTTTCTCAAGAAAAAAAAAGCTCGAGCTGGCTGGCGAGCGGAGGGAAGGGGTGAAGGACACTGCTGATTCACCCTCGAGCGCGTGCCAAGGGCAGCCCAAGGCGGAGAGTCGGAGAGGCGGAGGGGGGGCGACGTGCCGGGCAGGGTTCAAACCAATCGCTCGGGTCGTCCGCTGCTCCGCTACTCCGCTCCCGTGCCTGTCTGTCTGTGTGTGGGCTGCTGCGATGGTCTCAGCTCCGACCCTGCCCGGTTCCTGCACCGTTTATGCCGCCCCTTTTCCTGCTCTTCCTCGCGGCCCCCCCTCTCTCCCCTTTTTTTCCCTCTCTGCCTCGGCTGCTGCCGCAACAATCTGGCGTGTTTTCCGGCCAGTTTTGGACGTTTGCCTCGTGATTGCAGGTCGAGTGAGATGCATGTGTGCAGTCAGATGCACACGCGGGCGGGCTTGCCTCTGCCCGCCTCGCCTTGGCCCGTGGGCGTCTCCCGTGCTTTGCCTCTGTCTCCGCCTCTGCCTCTGCCGCTGTCGGATGCTTTTGGCGGCTGAGCCACGCGTGCGTCCGTTGGCTGCGCCTGTCTTGGCCTCGCCTTTTTTTTCTTCTGTGATGCTGCTGCTGCTGCTGTCCGGCCGCTCGGAAAGGCCGCGTTCATGCGCCCCTTCCCTTGTCGCCTTGGCTCGCCCCTTCCCTTCGGATTCTGAGCCAAGACAGCTGAGCCAGAGCCAAGCCCAAAGTGCAAAGCCATTTGGCAGAGAGCCATCGGAGAAAGGTCGCGCTCGCCTTCCCTTCGCTGCCCGCTATCTCCCTCTCCCCCTCCTCCTCGTCCTCCTCGTCCTCCTCGTCGTTGCTCCTCGTTGTTCCTCGTCGCGCCTCTTCGTCCCTCGTCGCTGTGCCGTGGCAGTCGCGCTCTCCCCCTTCACCCGGCTCCGTTGCAGGGTCGGTAGCTGCCCGAGCGCCTCCATCATCTCAGTCCCTACCGCCGCCACGCCATCCCCATCCTCGCAGCACCACCTCCCGCCCTCGTCGATCCGCCTTTGCACATAGCTTAACCATCCGTTCCTGTCATCGTCAGCACGCTGACTGGATATACCCAAAAAGGACACTTCCGGATACCTTCGCTCGCCTCGCATCCTCCTTCAATCAGCGTTTTCCCATCCTTTCGATTTGGCTATCGACGTCGCTCAAAAGCTTGCTCGCACACGCTCGGCTTCTCTCATTTGGCGGCGCCAAGCTCGTGTGTCCCACTCGCCGTGCAGCAATTGGCTGCTCTCTGCGCGCTCAGAGTTTAACTCGGCCAGCGTCCCACCAACGTGCGCCGCATCCAGAGACGACGCCCGCGTCCCATCGCGCCACGCCCAGTTCATCTCGTTCGGCTTCATCTCCTCGCTCGCCCGCTCGCAGTGCACCCGCATACAACAATCCAACGGCTGCGCGCGCGCGCTCGCTCGCTCTGCCCACCGCCGTCGATCCACCCCGTCCGATCCTCAGCGGCCACATCAACCCGCTTCTCACCACCACCAGCTCAAGCTTTCTTCGGCCCACCCAATCCGATCCCTCTCCGCATCAGCCACCACCGCCGAGCAACCCCTCTTTGGATTCCCATTCTAGGCTTTGCACCCCTGCCTGCCACACGTGCTCCCCTCGCGCACAACTTTCTCGCCACTGGCTTCTGGCTTCTGGCTTCTCGACCTGGATTCCGGACTTAGCCCCGTTTCACTGCCAACCTCTCACACGCTCAGCCTGCCCTTGATACCACCAGCCGAGCCTCCCGTCCCCTCGCCCTTTTCACTACACAGTACAAGAGCTCGGACCGCACCCCCTGCCCTTCCTCCCTCCTCGAACTTCGCCTGCTGCTGCTGCTGCTCCTCAGACTCACTGCAATAGTGGCGTCGGGCGCTCAACCCAGTCACACTTTCCCCATCGCGCATAGAAGATGGCCTCGGCGCCTACACCTGCTCCCTACCCCACCGAACCCTTGCTCTCGGACCGCGCAAGGACCAACATTGGAGCCGCTCTCGATCCCAGATCCTTCTCCGCCCTCTCCTCGCCCTCTCCATCTCCATCCGCATACGCGCCGCTCCCACCTCGGTACAAGCCGCCCGAATCCACAATGTCGTCCTCGCAGTCCATCGCAGACAACCCCAAGGAGTACAACAAATGGGCCTCGGCCTACAGCAAACGCCTCGGCACCGCTTCCACCGTCGGCACCTCTCGCACCGCCTTGGGGCCTTCCCCTTCCGACGCACATCAACAAGCACATGCAGCACGCTCCCTTCGCCAACGCGTCCCTTCCCATCCGGCCGCCATGCCAGCACGCCCCGCAGACCTCCTCCAAAGCCGCGTCTTTGGCTTGACCGCCGACCTGCGCGAACCAAGCTCGACCACCACAAGCGGTCCGGCCCTCGACGATACCAACCGCATGGCACGCATGCTCGGCGTCCATCGCCCCAACTTTAGCGTAGAGATCTTTTCCACCTCGTTCGACCATCGCGGATACCCCGTCTACTCGGGCCGCGGCACCTCGGTCCGTGGCGTGGTGCGCATGCCCGCCACCGAAGGCTGCGACGTCATGATGACCATCTCGGCGCACACCACCTCGGGCTCGCCAGCCGCCGTCTGGCAGGGCACCGCACTCGCGCCCTGGTCCACCGGCGGCGAAAAGAAGGTATTTGAGATCAAGGACCGCCTCGTGGCCAACTACGACCTCGTCCGGCCGCGAGCCGCCTACGCGCCGAAAAACGAAGACTTGATGGAGCCGCCGCAGATCTCCAAGGACGACCTGGTGCTCCCCATCCCCTTCGACGTGCAGCTGCCGCTCGGCAAGGCCACCCGCTTCATCGACGGCGAGATGCAGGCCGTGCCCGTCGCGCTGCCGCCCAGCTTCGAGATCAGCTCCAAGTTTGCCGCCCAGGAGAAGCGCGAGATCCGCCTCGCCACCAAGGGCAAGGCCAAGGGCCCCATGGCCAAGGAGCTCATCGAAAAGGGTTTCCAAAAGGTCTACCGCATCGGCTGCTACTACCAGGTCAGCTGGACGCTCATCCGCTCCAACAATGCCGACAAGTCGCGCAAGTCGCCCAGCAAGTCGGCGCAGCCCGCCGAAGGCGACACGCTCACGCTGCCCTTCATCTTCCTCGGCGAGCCCACGCCGATGCAGCCGCATCCGTCCACCCTCCCCTCGACCATCAGCCCAGACGTGTTTGTGGAGCCCGACACGACGCTGGGAGATCAGTGGTCCATCCACAAGTCGCAGGCCAAGTGGTCCGGTTCGCTGCTCAAGTCGTCCAAGAAGACCGTCGACATGGAGCTGCACATCCCCAACCCGCCCGTGCTGCAGGCGCCCTCGGTGCTCCCCATCATGCTCGTCCTGCGTCCGACCGAGCCGACGCTGCTCTCGCAGATCCGCACACGCGCGCCCAGCGAAACGTCGACCGCACCCGGCTCGCCCGCCGTGACGCAGACGGACGATCCGATCGAGATGGTCGCCTCGCCCGTGCTGTCGTCGGGCGAGTCCACCGCCGCACCCTCCATGTCGTCGCAGCAGACCATGCGCGACGCCGACACCGAGTCGATCCGAACCACGCGCAGCCTCGTGTCCAAGCTGATGAAGCCATCCATGACGTTGTCGCGGCTGCCCGGGTCCTCCTCGCGCAAGGGAGGCTCGAGCATCTTTGGCGGACGCCGCCCCAACACAGCGCCCAGCTCTGGCAGTTCGGATACGGGCCTCACGGACGCCATGACCGATCGAACATATGTGGCCGCGGGTGCGATTCCGGATCTGGTGAGTCTGGTGTGCATCTCGCTCATCCAGACCACGTTTAGCAGCAACGACAATGTCAACGACGGACCGGAACAGCGCAGGAAGCTGCTCTCGGTGGCCGACCTGGAGGAGGTGGACGTGCATGCGCTGCTGCTCAGCTCCGACTCGTCCGGCAGCCAGCCTGGATCGCGACCGGGCTCGAGCCGATCGCCCGACGAGATGGCGCAGATCAACGCAGCGGCAGCGGCTGCCAAGGCGGCCGGCGTGCGCGTCCTGGTGGGCTCGCTCAAGGTGGCGGGCACCACGCCACCCAACTTCCGCTGCCACGGCCTCGAGGTCAAGTATGCGCTCAAGGTGGATCTGCTGCCGGCGAACCGGTACAGCAGCGGCGAGGGCGTGGAGAAGGCGCTGCGCAACCTCGGCCTGGGCAGCGGCCGCAGCCGCGGCTTCTCGGACGGCGCGAGCACGACGGCGTCGATCCACACGCAGACGCAGTTTACGTCGCTGTCGGGCGACGGCAGCAGCCCTCCGACGACGCCGCCGAACATGATGTCGCCGTCGCTCTTTGGCTCGCGATCGCCCGGCATGGACGGTCACGGACCGTCGGCACGCGCCTGGACGCGGCAGACGGGCAGCCGCAACGCGTCGCCGCTGGGTGCCGGCACGGGCAGCAGCAACATGCAGAACGTCGGCATGGCCATCTCGACCCACGACGAAAGCGCCGTGTCGGCCGACACGCCCGAGGCGCAGGAGCTGCTCTCGCCGCAGTTGGAGGCAGCGGCGGCGCGTGCGCCCATGGTGGCTGCGCCGTACCCGAGTGCGTTCCCGCAGCATGCGTCGCAGCACGCCGCGGGCCGAGCGACGCCGTCGGTGTACGGCTCGCAGATGTCGAGCGCGGCGTCGGTGCGCACGGGCTGGGGCAGCGGCCACTCGATCTCGGAGGCGTCGCAGATGCAGAGCAGCATCTACATGTCCGAGTGGGGCCGCGACCGCAAGACGGTGTCCAAGATCAACAAGACGATCGGCGAGATGTGGCTGGATGTGCGTGTTGTGCGCGCGCATAATGCGTACTAGCCATCGCACACGGGCCTCTCTCTCATGTATTGCTACGGCATGCTACGTTTAATCTGCAAGCATCTCTCTTCGTGTATACGATTGTGCGCGGTGATTCCTCACGACCTTGTGTGCCTGCGGTGGTTGACAGTCGGGCGAGCAACTCTGTTCGGGGCTTGGACTGCGTAGGGATGCGGTGATTCCTGGCGGGGGGTGCGTTGATGCAAAGGTTCCTGGCGACTGTGCGTGTGTGCGGTGTTATCTCACTAGCGTCACCATTGTGCGTCAAAGCGCGCGTGGACAGTGCGACAAGCATGTGTCTGGGTGCTCACGCCTCGTCGCCGTGCACCCACTTGGATCCTTCAGTGTCAGATGCAGCGCGGATGACACGCTGTCTCTCTCTTGTAACTCATTGCTGCGGCGTGCTAGGTTTCAGCTGCAAGGATCTGTCTTTGTGTCCTGGGCTGCGCGGGGATGCGGTGTCTGCTCGCAACCGTGCGTGCATGCGGCGTTTCCCACCCAGAAAGTATGTATGCAAAGGTTCCTTACTACCGAGCGTCGATGCGGTGTTTGATCAACAAGGCGCCTTCGATGGAGTCGCACCCCATCTGCCACTCTGGCTGCTGGTGGGCTGAAATGCTAGATCTCTTGTCATGCGGTGGTTAACAGTGCGCTGCCTAGGTGAAGGAAACACCTCTTTAGCTTTTGGCTCGGTGGGACTCTTTTCATGCCTTGCCATCCTCGATTCTCTCAAAAACGCAGTGTGACTGACCGCACACGCAGCCTTTGCACTCCCTGCACGATTGTATTGGATTCCATGCCTTACTATGCGTTCGATAGACACTATGAAGGCCATCGATTTTGCAAATACCCGTGTATGTTTGTCGTTTGAAGTGTCACTATCCACCGAGCGCAAAAGAGATGTGTGATTACAGGAATCGACGTAGCAGGTAGAGCTTCGACACAAGGTGACGGGGCGATTACCACGCCTGGCTTGGCCCAGCCACGAGTGCCGCAGCGTGAGCATGGCAGGCGCACAATGAAGCGCAGCCGAGGCGCGAGTGTCAGATTGGACCCTTGAGAGAGTTGCGTTTGGGACCCTGCAACTCAGCCACGTCAAAAATGCACTGTGCGCAGCAGCCCGCAGCAGCAGGCGGAAGCGCAGTGCAAAGCTCAGCCATACAAAGTTGGCTCGCCTCCACCTCCAAGTAACGCACGCGCTCACCACCACAACCCCGCCACTCGCTCCTCCCCTCCGCACAATCAGCACCACTGCCAGCCACCCCCAGACCACCTCAAAGACGCAGTACCAGCACACAAAGCTCAGCCCGCTCGAAGCCCGCTCGAAGCCCGCTCGGACTTCCACCAGCTTCCCGTTCCGGTTCTGCCAAAGCGAGCACCGGACCGCCTGCAAGACGCAAGATCACAAGTGCGACTCAGCTTATCACTCGCAGCACTACGACCGGCTTTCCAGACCGCATAATAGGAGCCACGTATCTCACACTGGACACGTGCTCAGCGCTACGACTCAGCCAATTGGATTCGAGCCGCCATGAATCCGTTGGAGCTGCCGCTGCCTGTGGTGGTGGATAACCTGCTGCCGCTGCTGTCGAATGCGGATCTCGCCGCACTGCGCTCCGTATCTAAGCACGCCAAAGCGCTCGTCGAGGATGAAGTGCTCTGGAAACGAAAGGTGCTTGCCGACTTTACGTTCCCGCAGCATGCGACGGCACGCATGGGTGGATGGTTGAACCTCTACCGCGGACTCAGCAACCCGCACGTCTACGTCTGGGGCCAGCTGAGCCAGGGTCGTTTGGGTCTCGACCTCGATCAGCTCGATGGCGATGTTGCGCGAGACGCAAACAGCATCCATGGCGGCATCCCATACCCAGTCCGACTCACAGCGATTGGGTCGGCGAGCACGCAGCGGACACTGGCGGACGATGCTGGTGCGGTGGTGGAGATTGTTGCGGGAGGATGGGCGTTCCACGCTCGCACCTCGACGGGCAGGGTGTGGCACTGGGGCACCATGGATGGCGAGACGTTTGCGGGCCCACGCGCGTCGATGCGCGATCCTGGAAGCAAAGTGGCCACGCCCCAACTCATGCATGGCCTGCCGAACGTGCAGTCGCTTGCGGGAGGCAGATGCCACGCAGTCGCACTCTCCACCGACCACGAGCTGCTAGAGTGGCGTGCATGGGGCAGCGTCTGGAAGCTCGAAGATCTGCCAGCGAGTATTACCAATCCATCCCCCGCCGCACACGCGATCGAAGGTGGGCAAGCACCGAAAAGCAACATCAAGCAGCTCGAGGCGGGATGGTCGTTCTCGGCTGTGCTGACGCATACAGGCGAGGTTTGGCTGTGGTATTCTGACTGGACTGCCGACGAGTTTCAGCGCAAGTACTACGACGGACACGAGCGCGAGAGCATGCTGCATGCCGATCCACCCGGCTACGGCGATCAAAAGGTCTTCCCGCTGCGGGTGGAGCCGGTGTGTTTGCCGCGCATTCCGGGCGAGGGTGACGCGCAGCATATCGTGCAGATCGCTGCGGGCGAGGACTTTATCGTCGCACTCAGCGCGTCTGGGACGCTGCATCGCATCGACTTGCATCTGCCGCCGCCAACGGGAAACGAGTGGCAGACTATACGCCAGGCGTATGCGCTGCGACGCGATGATGACGACCTCGGCGTGGTGGTGCACCGTCTTCGCATGAAGCGCTTCCTCGAAACTCACGCACGCTGGCAGGCACTTGCAGCATTCGAACGGCCCGAATCGCATCCGGATTTCGATCCGACGTGGCTGGCGCGAGGAGTGGCTGGGCGTATCACGCACATTTCGGCGCACTTTCGCCGATTTGTGGTCATTGTCCCTGTGATCCACAACGACAGGGAGGTGGAGGACACTCTTGTGCTACTGGGCACGCCGGATTCGGTGCAGCCAGAGATGGTGCCAGAGCTGCAGGCGCGCGGGGTGATCAAAGTGGTCATGGGCGACTACCACTACGGCGCGCTCACGCAGCAAGGCGAGATCCTCACCTGGGGTGCATTCTCCAAGGGTGCTCTGGGGAACTGGCCCGCGCCATGGCACCTTGGCTCTGGCACGCCGGATCGCACAGAGGTAGCAGAGGGAGATCGGGGATGGTTGGGGAATCTTGTGCCGATGCCGAGGATGTTGCGTGGCTCGCGTGCGCCACGACAAGCAGCGCGAGCAGGCCAGGACGACGTGCACGATCCCACGCCGATTGCGATTCATCCTCGCGGCGGGGCGATGCCGTTTGCGTTCGACCTGGCGTTTGCAGGATGGCATTCGTCGGCACTCGCTATGCCTGCGCCACCATAGTCCCGCGCCGCACCACTGGGCAACGACAGGCGTTTGTCGGCCATCATCGCATGGGGAAGCAGTTGGAACGTGCGTGTGAGGATACCCAGAGAGCTGTACACAGGCTCAACTTTGGTTGCGATGGTGTGCATGTGCATCGACGCAGAGTCTTACACCCTTGCCATGCGTGTCTTTCCCGCCTCGCAGTACGCAGTGCCTCTCTGTGTGTTTTTCTCTGTGAGCTGCGCCCACCGCCGCCTGTCTAGCGCCAAAAGCCTGACTTGGGCGCGGCCAGATCTCTGATCCCATCCCCTTCTTGCACCCTTCACTCTGCCACACACACGCACACGCACATTCGAGCTGCGGCAATTCAAAGCAAGTTACCTGTTTACCAAGCCGTCGAGACGTGGTGCTTACGAGTTGGTGCTTGCGAATCGCGAAGCACGCACTGTGCCGCCTCGCTATGCCGCGGGAACCGCGCCAATCGCCACATGCGTCCTGACACGTTCGTGCTTGAAGTTTGCAAACGGATACGACGGCGGTAGTTCGGCGGTGGGCGTTGTCGAGGCGGTATTGGGTGCGGAGCTGGGTGCGCTGTCGGTGTGCACCAGGCTGGCCGGTGTCGATGCGGGCGACTCGACGCCCGCGCTGCGCGAAGTGTGCTGTACCGAGGTATCGCGCGGTTCATGCGACGAGTCCCCCCTGCGCTGGTCGGGACGCTTCTGCCAACGGTCCTCACCCCGTTCACCACCACCGCCTCCCTGCCCCCCACCCGTCGCACCGTCTCCACCCGCACCACCCTCGCTCGGACCCGCCCCATCCCCACCCGCACCTCCCCTCGGCTCCCCCGTCGGGCTGGCATCCTCATCGCCCTCGTCGAGCGTGTCGTCGTTGCGCGTCTGGCTAAGCCGTGTGAGCGTGGCGAGCAAACTCGACATGTACTGAAAGCCCTCGCTGGGCCCACGCGCCGTACGGTTCAACAGCGCCGAAACGACATAGATGATCTTGCTGATGAGGCTGTGCCCGTTGCTCGCGAGCGCGTCGAGCGGCAGGCTGTTGAAGGTGCTCAGCATCTTCTGCGCTGCATCCTGCCACGTATCGCGCTGTACGTCCTCGGGCGCATTCGCCGGTGCACCGAACGAGGCCGGTTGGCGAAGCTTGAGATCGCGAATGCGCGTCGCGACCAACTCGCGGTACTCGGTCACGAGGAACCGGATCAGACTCTCGGTACACACGATGTTGGCGTGCATCGTGCACATGGGCGACAGCACCGGCGTACTGCTCGGTGGCGGCGAGGGTCGAAAGACGTTCACGAGGTCCACCATCGTGAGGCCCGCAACCGCCTCGCGTCCCGCCTGCGGCGTCATGGGCAACGGCGTCAAGGCCTGGTGCGGAGGCTGTCCGACGTCCAAACCCGAGGCGGGCTCGGCCGACGGACGCGGCGAGTGCGTCGCCGACGAATTGTTCGACGAGCGTGCATCGGCGTTGGGCAGGCCATCGCGCGTGAACGTCTCGGCGGGCCACGGCCAGGGCGACGTCCCGCTCAGATGGTTGCCCAGCGCAGTCTGCGTTGCCGCATCAAACCCAATCGCCTGCAGCGGGGGCGGCGGCTGCTGCTGCTGCTGTTGCTGGCCACCGGGCGCCGCCACCGCTTCGAGCGAGGGCATGCTCACGCCCGGGCGACGGATGGGCTCGGGCGGCGCGTGCGTATACACGGGCCTGCGCAGCTCCTCGGGCATATCATCGATCGCATGCTGCAGCCTACTGAGCACGTCTGCCAGATACCTTACCCTCGACCGCGCCACGCCAAGATCGTCGATCGGAAACCTGCGGTCGCGGCGGTACGACTCGAGCAGCTCGAGCATGACCTGGTGCAGGCGCGTGACGGTGAGAAAGCCGCAGAGCACGCTCGGTCGCGTCTGCACGTGGCGCGGGTTGGCCAGCGCCTCCTCGTCGACAGCGAGCGGCAAGTCGACACACGCGTCGATGGCGTGGATCAGCGCCGGCTCGTCCTGCAGCACAGCGATGGTGGTGGAGCTTCCGTGGAGCACCCAAAACATGCGCTTCCGCAGCTCGCGCTCGACGGCATTCGCCGTGGGCGCGCGGTAGTGCGCAAACGACGACGCATCCAGGCCGTACGGCGCGGCACTGGCCGTCGCGCTGTTCTTGGTCTCGTCGTGCAGCGCCAGCGTATACGCCACACGCACCGCCTCGGCGAGCACAGCATTGGCAGCATTCGTCTTGCCGATGGTGCCGAGGTAGATGTGATCGCAGTACAGCGTGTTGACGTGGAGCAGCTGGGGCGGATCATAGACGCGCGGCTGCATCCTGCGCGAGGTGAGGTGGCAAATGCGGTGCAGCCGGCGATACACGGTCCAGGGCGCGGGGACGACGGTGCGCGGACACTGGATGAGCGTGTACGAGGCGAGGCTGAGCACAAACGCGAGGAAGGTGTCGTCGCGCTCGTCGCGCCGGTTGAGCAGGTCGTGGCTGAACGTCGGCCGGTCGACGATGGGCAGCAGCGGCCAGAGGTAGTGGAAGTAGAGCGAGACAATCGCGAGGAACGTCTGGCGCGGCGCAATGTCGTCGAGCGAGCGCGGACGCACCACGGGTCCGCAGTACATGGTCGACAGGCTCGGCGCGCTCTTGCGCTTGCGGCTCGAGCGGGCGCCCGACCCCGC